TTTCTTCCCTCTGTTGAATTTCAGACCTTCACAGCTTCTTCTTCTTCGCTCCGTCTAGAAACACTCCCACCACACACTTGCTTCCCCCCCCCTCTGTACATCAGTGCATCATTTTCCTGTTTACCCTACCCCCTGCCGTCACCCCATCCCCTCATTGTTCTCCACCAGCTTCCATCTTCATACCTGACTCAGCTGCTGATTAGCAGCGAAGGCTTCTATTCTCTCGGCTGCGTAAACCAAAGTCTGTCAGCTTCTTATAAATGAGCAAAAAATAAAGCAATTACCTGGCTTAGAAACTGAAACAGTAGATTCATTTCATTCTACAGTAATGACTTCTTCTTTGTCTCTGGTGTTCTTTTAGTAGCGAGGATGAGGCCGAGCTGAATTTGACACACCGTCAGCTCAATAGCACAAATGAAACCAGATAAGAAGTGAAGTTGGGAAATGATTTGGCAGAGCGCAGGGAGAAACAGATTGCCTGACAACAGTAGGTAAAAGCTAATGAGGACTTCAAGGAACTTCAACAGTTTGGAACATGTGTTTCTTCTCTTTCAGAGAGCAGATCGATTGATTCTTTAGGAAAATCAACCTGGTAGTAGCTGGCTTACGGGGATGTGTTATATGTGTTATTTTGTGTTTAATTGTCTCAGTTTTTACAAAATAGTTTAAACTGAAACATGTTAATACATAGAAGGTTGAGATTTAGCATATTGGAAGGGCTAAGCTAGCTGTCCAGACCCATGAATTCTTCTTGCTAAGCTCGTTGGTTGTTGGTTGTAGCCTGATAGATCAATTAAATAACTATGAACGTAGCATGGTTGGAATATCCTGTAACCTAAATAACCACTAGTTATGTATGCAGAAGAGCGTCTCTGAATGCACATCGCACCTTGAAGCAGATGCCCAGCAGCAGAAGACCACACCGGGTGTCCTCCTGCCAGCTAAGAACAGCAAACTGAGGCTATAATTTGCAGAACCTCACAAAAATTGGACAACAGAAGAGTGGAAGAACACTGCCTGGTCTGATGAGTCCTGATATCCGCTCTATCATTCAGATAGTGGGATTGGAAGTGGACGTAAGCTTGGATCTGTCCTGCCTTTTATCAGTTGTCCAGTGGTGTAATGATGTGGGGGGTATTTTCTTGCAAGTATTTTCTTTCTTTCTCCATTTCAGGATCTATCCAAAAAGTTGCTTCTGATCATCAGGATGTAGCGAGAAACAAGTAACGAGACACGTTTCTCCTCCTGAAAATGTCCAGATGAACAGACTCAACTTTTTGGGATTTCCTTACCTGGATGTTTGAGCATAAAGACATTTCAGGATCGAGTTTAAAACTCGATTACTTGTATTTAAGAGTGCCAATGGTTTGGGCCCCCGTCATTGACAGAGTGTTTGTCACCCTACAGTCCTACCAGAGCACTGAGGTCTACTAAGCAGCTGTTTCGAGCTTAAACGCAGAGGTGATTGGAGCTTTTCAGTGGTGGCTCCTAATCTTTGGAACAACTTACCCTTTTTCCATGAGAGCTGCTGTCTCTCAAACATCATAAAGCATTTTTAAAAACCTGCTTATTCTTGCTTGTTTTTGAGCCTAGTGTTTGTATATTATTATGCAAACACGGCCTTTTTTACTGTATTTTTTGTTGATTTAGTGACTGTGTATTGTGTATACGTTGCAAACTTGTACAGCATTTGTTCTATAGAAATAAACTTTGACTTGTTGCAACTGAGCACCATTTAAATGCCAAAGCCTACCTGAGTATTGCTGACCACGTCCATCCCTTTATGACCACAGTGAACCCATCTTCCAGCAGGCTATTACACCATGACACAAAGCTCAAATCACCTCAGTGTGGTTTCTTGAACATGACAATTGAGCACCTTTAGGATATCAGTAGATGGACCAGAATCTCCGAGTGCTGTTTCCAGCATATACATAAGTATTTCGATCAACGTGTAAAAGACTACAAACTCCGTGGAAGTTTTGAAGTTGCACTGTTGCACTGTTTCTGTTTTCTTTCAGCTCGATATTTCCACCTCCATTTCTTTTCTTTTCCCACCTCCCCTGAGAACCCAGACAACACACAAACAAATCCAATAACGCAGGGTTCAACGGTGTGTTAATTTCATCAAGTGGGTAAATTTATGGACACTATAAAGCCTGTGGCTTCTGGGCGCCAGAGTACCAAGTATTCACTGTAATTTTATCATGGGCATCTCAAAGGCATCTGAATGGCAGCAGAGGAGGTAGAAGAGGCTGATACAAAGGCCGTGAAGAGGCCGAGCTTATCGGGTTTATGTAGGGCTAATTACAGGACTGGGAGACAGACTCTCTGTCAGGAGGCACAGTAACATCATTAGCGTCAAGAAAAGAGGAGGAATGTGACGTGTGGGGTAGTGAGGGAGAAATTATGGGTGGATTGTATTAATGCCAAAAGGTAATGAAAAATGCAAGCGGGTGGCAGGAGATACAGTCCTTCTCAGGTGTCTGCGCTTTTTCACTGGATCAGAATAGCCTAATTAGGATTAATAATTAATCAGGATTGTTTTCCTTCCCAGCAGTTTCACAGAGACCGTGTTCAGTATGGATAAACTGTTTCTATAATACAGTCAGAAATGCCTGTCACCCATAATAATGTGTGAAGTTGAGTTAGAAATGTTCGAAAGAGCTCTGATACAAACAGCAACTTTACCAGAGGCGTCAGGTAAAGTCGTTCAAAGGAAAAGATCTGATCGGGTGTGGAGTGTCACTCAAAGTACCGAGAGGAGCCAGTTGACATGTACAATCTGGCACTGGAGTATATCTGGAATAACTGGGAACTAGTTAAAAGCCACTCAACCCTCTCTGATGACAGCGAATCAGAAATTAGAGATGTTAATACAGAGGATGGCAGAGCAGGTGGTTTGATTATGAGGCGCACAATTAAATTATACAGGAGGGTTTGTCATTAGACCCGAGCAGGCAGAAATGACATTAGTGGGGTGCAGGCTTGAGTGATGGACTAAATGGTTACACTGATGATCAAATCAATCCCGCTGGTCTGGTTTCACCTGAACAGAATTTTTTGTTGCGACTCAGTAATTCCAACTTAATTAGTTTCATGCTGGCACGCAGTGCTGCGAAAAAGTATTTGCCCACTTTCAGATTTCTTAGTTTTTTGTATATATGCCACATTTACATGTTTCAGATCATCAAATTCATTTCGATATTGGATAAAAAATAAAAAAAAACCTACAAAAACACAAAATGCAGTTTTTAAATGATGATTTCATGTATTAAGGGAAAAAAGTTACCCAAACCTACTTGTCCCTATGTGACAAAGTAGTTGCCCCTAAACCTGATAACTGGTTGCGCCAGTTATAGCAGCAAGAATTGCAATCAAGTGTTCAAGTAACTGGCAACGAGTCTTTCATAATTATGTGGAGGAATTTTGTCCCACTTTTCTTTGCAGAATTGCTTTAATTCAGTCACTGTGGAGAGTTTTCAAACACGAGGGGCGTGTTTAAGGTTTGTGTCTTAATCTGATTTAATTCTGGACTTCCTGACTTTTCTTTTTTGAGCCATCCAGAGTTCGATTTCCAGTAAGTCGTCCAAGTCCTGAAGCAGCAAAGCAGCCTCAGACCATCATGCTACCACCACCATGTTTGACTGGTGATATAATGTTCTTTTTATGAAATGCTGTGTTAATTTTACACCACATGTACCAGGACTCAGTTTCCAAAGTATTTTCCCAGAGGATCATCAAGATTTTTTTGTCATTTTCGCTCAGTCTCTTTCTTATTGTTGGATTATAAACTCTGACCTTAACTGGTTGAAGTGAGGCCTGCACTTCTTTAATGTTGTTCTGGGATCTTTTGTGACCTCGTGGATGAGTCGTTGATGCACTCTGGGAGTGTCTCTGATGGGCCACTTTTCCAAGTCTTTTTCTCTATTTGTGTATAATGGCTCTCACTGTAATTCACTGGAGTCCCAAAACCTTAGAAATGACTTTGTCACCCTTTCCAGATGATAGAGGTCACTGACTTTGTTTTCTGAGCTGCTTCTTTAGATTGTGAGATGATGCGTTTGAGGATCTTTTAACCTGCTTCGCTTTCGTCAGACAGGTTCTACTTGCGTTAGATTTGCGATTTCCCTGAGTTATCACAGTTAATCACTGTATTTGGCAACTTCACCCCTTTTATCCAGAAACCAATAGCAGACTGACCCCAAATTATTGTGGTCACAATGCATCATATCCCCCCCCCCAGTGTAGCTGTAGGATAATCATTTGGAGTCATTGTTGTATGGACGTGGAACCTCTCGGTGTGCGCTGGGCTTGTTTAGCACATACTGTCGATCAGACGTGCATCTGGTGGTTCTTTGTGTTCCCCGACCTGCTCCTGAGATTGTAAGAGACGGCACAGCGAACGAACTTGCTGAGAAAGCTGCTGCTGTCGGGCAATCTTGTTGCTGTGGGTGTGCTAGTCTAGGCAACATGCCAAAATAACATGAATGTCAGCAAGTGTTTGCAGGCTCTATTTTTCATTTTCTATTGCAAAATAATACTCCTTAGAATACAATTTAGATGTATCCTTAAGATATAATTATAAATATTCAATTATTGAAATTGTAACTTTTAATATAATAACTTAATTTATTTGCATCTCTACTGATTTCCATGGATCCACTGTTCTAATTTCTTGAAGTCCATGGTGCCATCTTTACGTTACAAATCAAATATATTCAGTTGTTAATCAAATGAGGGGAAAAAAATATAAAAGTGTCAGAAATGAAAAGCTACAACCAATAAATGTTTTTATATTTTCTAGAAATCTAGAAACTGATAAATGGCTAAAACCGATCACCATTTATCGACAACTGATTGATAATTGCATAAATCTATAGCTTCATTAGACATATCTATTCTTTATCTATTCTTCATTAGGCTGCTGTGTTCATGTCAAACCTCTGAAAAACAAAACAAATCAGGAATTTAAGAAAAAAAATGCTTTTATTTATTGATTTTTTTTTTTTTTTTTTTTACATCTTTAAAAAGCAAAACCTTAAAGCACAAAGATTTACTCTGTATATAAACACCTCTCTTCATTGGACTAAAAAAATGGTAGCATTTGCACATTGTGCTTCGGTTGCAAAGTCTGTACAACAACTCTGGGTCTCTCGTAGTGTCACGACCCCAGTAAACATTTTATTGCATAAATCACATTTGACCTCAGTGGCCATTTGCTGACGTGTTGAAACAAGGAGTGTAGAGACAGAGGAGAGGGTACCACTGAAATGAGGAGAAAGAAGCTCTCATACCTGTTACACAGTGAATAACAATAGCAGCTTTCTTAATGAAGGCGTTGCACATTGTCCTGAAAAGGAAAAAAGTAATCCATAAAAGAGAAATACAACTAAACTCATGTGACGATAATCGACAGTTGTGCTTTTGTCTAACTAGAAAAACTCTTATTCCTCTGCAGAGGAAAAAAAGAAATAAAATTAAATAAAATAAAAAAAACTCAAGGAGAACCTGCAGCTATTGGCTCATTTCCCTTTAAACAGTAGCTTACTAAACACTAATCTCTAGTTGCACACAACCCCTTTTACAATAAGCATTTACATATCTACTCAACCTACATCTGAAAAAGTAGCATTTCTCAAAAGGCAGTGTCTCTCCATGACATCTCCAAGGAGACTTTACATCATTAAAATGCTGAATGGAAGTCGGCTTTTGCACAAAAATATACAAATACACCTCGAATCAATGACTTTGGTATAAACAACATGGAGCTCGTTATTCTCACACAAAGACTTCTACTCCTGAACGTTACCCCCCCTCCCCACCCCCGCCCTCAACGGACATATTTCTGCTCGTCGTGTATAAATTATGCAAGTGTTTACAGGAAGAAAAAGCCAACAGGAAGTAAAGAAAACTAGAATCAGCAAAAACAACAACAAAAAGAAAAACCCTAACAGATTACCCAAAGATCTCAAACATCTTTTATGGTATAAACATTCCCACAACCTATAAAGGAGAAAAATGAATAAAAATGAATATAATCATCATTAAAAAAAAAAGATTGATGGAAAATAAATGTTAAAAGTTATAAGGTTTCCTCTTTATTGGACACAGTTGTAATTTTTCAATTATAAAACAAGAGTACAAAAACAATAAATGACAAAGCAGGGTTATATAACAAATAGATTAGAGACATGCTTACACATTAGAACCATTATTTTGAGAACCAAACGTTTTTTTGTGATTAAACTTGATGTTTAAAAATGTGCATTATTGTGTTCTGCTTTTCTACTGAAGTCAGGATTTGTTAATCAGTTTGGAAAAAGGGAACTTGGATGTATTTTTGTCCTGCCAGTGCAAACTCAAACAACCTGAAACGCTGGCTTTGTGGGAAAACGATTTTTGTCTCAAAAAACTGGCGTTATATATATATATATTTTTAAACAGGATTCAGAAGAAACCAATCTGCAGCTTCTTTAAATCTTCAAAGCTGGATCAATGAAAGCCTCATTGCTGCTGAGGGCTCCGCTTTGTGTTGTTTGTGAGTACGACGCCGGTGAACGCTGACTCATCCGTGAGCAGCGACTGTACCGTGAACAGGCTCTCCAGCCTATTAGCCGGGTGAATTGTTAGAGCACAGGCAGGCCTCTTTCTCTGCGCTCGGCGGTCAACAGGGCAGCGCTCAGATTAAAAGCGCCGAGTTCATGCACTCGCAGCGGCTGAGAGGAGCAACGAGAGCCTGCTGGGACCGAGCCTTTGCATGCTCGTCAGGAATTTACCTCCAGCTTTAGTACTTCCTGGCATTGTCTATTTAAATGGTGTGAATTAACATTGTAGTGAGATGCAGCTGTGCTTCTGCTGCCCACGTTCATCTCCTCCAATACACAACAGAGACATCTACACCACCTACGCTTGTATCCTGCAATTATCATGTTCCAAGTATGAGTTACAGAAGAAAGGCTTTTCAGACGAGTTCCCGAGTAAACAACGAGCTGAAAAGGTCAAAAAGGAGGAGGGGAACGAGGGGGGTGGGCACAAGAATGAATTAAAATGTGGCTACGACTGACGGTGCTGATATTCACACCAAGCAAAAAACACAGATCTGAAATTATAACAATGACGTGGGGAGCTGGAGTTTGGCATTTAAAGTTTCACATTAGTATCACCTTTTAACTGATGCCTCTTGGTTAATCTAGTATTAAATGTTTAGCCTCGTTCAGGCCTGCGATCACGCGTGTAAGTAGGAAACACAGTTTTTCCTTTTGAAACAAAACTTTAGATTGTGCAGCTGAAAAGAAGCGAGCATTTATCCTGGTCTTAAATTCAGCCAGCTGGGATTTCTCACATGGGACACACATGTGTTAATAAACACGCTGAACTCAAAGTTAATCATATGTGAAGTTGCAACCTTGAACAAAAACGGTTACACGGTGGTATCACTGCCTGACCATCGGATACAGGTAGCAACATTACAGAAGCTACAGCTAATTATGATAACTTCCTCATTTTTAAGCATTATTGCAGGGCTGCATTGATTTATCTCAGTGAATACCACAGGAACAATCACATTGCTACTGAGAACGAGCTCGATTATTACTCAGAGCAGCTTTCAAGCAGCTTAACAGAAGCCTCACATTTACTTTAGAGGGGAAAAGATAAATCTACTAAAGACATAATACTATAATTATTGGCTAACATTAATCTGTGTTTAGACAGAATCATAAAACGTTTGATTTTCTAGCATTTCCACAAAGGGATGAATTCTCTAATAAACATCTCTAACCAAACATTAAATGTGAGACACTTAAAAAAAAAGTCCTGCGTTGTAATTTAAAACTGTTTAGTATTGAAGGGTTTGCATTAAAAATGTTGTTGTGGTGAAATATTCGAATGCTTCTTATATATTGAAAAGATGCGCTTTTTTGTTTTTTGGCAACGTTCTCCTTCAAATAATTTATAATATATTCTGTTATATACAGTTTGTTTTAATAAACTTTAATCTGAAATGACGTTAAAAAAAATACAATTGCAGAAGAAAAATGTGCTGGATGCATCGAAGAATGTCTGAAATGTGATTCACAGAGTTTTTAATCTTTCACCAATGTCATATATTCTTTTTAAAAACGCACACACACACGCACGAACACATACACACTTTCTTCCTGAATGCAGACACTCTCACTTTGAAATGAGGTTTGTGCATAACTACAAACACTAACTCAAGAGGTGAAGGAAAAGAAAAGAAACAGAGAGAGGAGAGCTACAGTGGATGTTGCAGAAATTAAAAAACCTGCAACAGAGCACACGAGAGAGTATTGAGAGCTTCAGCTGATTAAACTCATACTTCAGATTTTGGACTTCAACCAGATCGAGGACGTGCACGCGAGCATAGGCCGCTCATTCATTCCTTCAGTCGCACAGAATATATCGATCTTCTTCTCATCTCAGCCTTTATAGTGTGTGGGTTGGAGTTTAGTCTAATTGTGCTTGGCACGAATCCCCTTTAAGTAGGTTTTCCAGCGCTTGACCACATCCTTGAAGATGGGGGAGTTGTCTATGGATGCCAGCAGCTGTAGCTGATTAATGTGTGTGGTGTGATAGTCCCAGCGAGCCAAGTTGGGCGCAGTGCCCAACATGAAGTGACGCAGGTCATAAATGCTCCCAGACCCGGTGTCAAAGAGCGGCAGCATGGCCTTCAGCGACTCCATGCCGCGGCTGAACAGCTGCCCTGCCTCCCTGCCGAGCTTCTCTCCAGCTGTCTCAGTCAAGTCGTAGAGCCCCAGCAGGGAGTAGATGAAGCCGTTGAGCACAAAGGAGCTGGGTGTGGTGGGGTATTCTTCATACCAGTCATACTTGTTCATGAACACAGCTTTGACCCCATGCTGTGCTGAAGGCACCTTATAAGGTCCTACTGCCTTCAGGGCAGCGTTGAGGTACGCCTGGTCCTTGGTGAGGAGGTAGGCTCTCACAAGGGTGGACATGGCCTGGCCCTGAGCCATGGCCGAGTACCAGCCGGGCTCCAGAGGTCTGAAGCCTTCGCCTAGTTTACGGGTGACCATGATAGGCCATCCGCCTCGCTCGTCCTGGTTGCGCAGCAGCCAGTCGCTGGCGGCAAAGAAGGCGGCCATGTGCGCAGTGGTGGAGATGGTGATGTTGTCAACAAATCCACGCCCATGCAGGACTAATCGCACCACACGTCTGGGCATAATCTGAAAAGAGACAGTAGATGAAGGGAGTTAGGACTTGGCATTCCTGAGTTCAACACACTGCAGATTTAGTCTTCATAAAGCCAAATAATAACAGTATTTAGTTCACATACATGGAGTTAAATCTAACACAAAGAAACCCTCTGACACAATACAAGTGGCAAAGACTTGTAAGTAGCTTTGATAATGAAAAGCATACATCACCATAAATGTAACTATACTTCCTTAATGGACTGTTTTCTATAAAATGTGAGAAAGTAGTGAAAAATGTACAAAAAGTACATTAAAAGGTTTTTTTGTGGAACTTTTGCTTTTAAAATGAGAGCTGCCAGTTCAACTAATCAACTAATTATCCCAGCTGCAAGTGCATCGTCACTAGACCACAAATATTTGAGCAGAGGTGCTTTTTGAACCAGCGCTTTGAGTTGAACGGACCTTTGTGGCCTTAACAGCCTTTGTGTTGGACAGCCCGACGCCCTTCCTGAGGTCGGTGAGCAGATCCCGGGTCAGAGTGCTCCAAGCGGTTCGCGGTCCAATCCCGTAGGTGATGTCACGCTCTCTGAAGGCGATGAGCTGTGTGCTGGTCACGTAGTGGATTGTGAAGGGAGGGCCCTTCTCTGTGGTTTCAAGGATTACAGACACGCTGCCGTTGGAGATAAACTTGAGGTCCAAGCTGAGGATGAAGTCTTTGGAGTTGCCCATCTGGAGGGACACGCCTTCGGAGGAGTCTGTGGTAATGGGAAGTGAGTGGGGTGGGTGCAGCAGATAAATAAGTCAAAATTGCGGGAGAAAAAACATTTATTCAAAGACACTTGGTCTCATTTGACTGACTTCTTTAAGAACTTGATGATTACTGGCTGATAACGTGCTATTTTTAGTTTACTGGAAGCTTTTTAAATCCGAGTCTGTCTCTTAATACACTCCTCTGGTGGTCTGTTTATATAATGGCTCATCTTTTTTTTTCCCTTTTTTAATACTCTCAATGATCAATCACAATGAGCCTACTTTAAAATCAATCACTGGTCAGAAGCTTAACATTTTAACTACCCTGGATTTTGTATTATTACCCATGTGATGTTCCTTGCTGTTTGTGTGTGTGTGAGAGAGAGTGCACACACACACACACACACACACTAGGACGAGCTTCTCCTGGGATGTGCAGTACGGCTGTGTCTCTGCACACTGAGCTTAATAAGGAGGACAGAGAGGAGAGAGAAGACAGTGTGGAAAGAAATAGAGGAGCAGTATGAGGGAACAACAGAGTGAAAGAAGAAGTTGATATACTGCAACTTCTCTATTTGCATCCCCGCATCTCCTCCAGTCAGAGCTTAAGTAGAAACTCGGATGATTTTTACTTTCCACACTGCCACCTCTGACACTGGATCACCTTTGTGTCACTATAGTTCAGCTCCGACTTCATTTCAAGACCCCGAAGCAGCGAGCGGTTCAAGAATGATCTCTGCTTTTGCCTTACTCTTTGGTGTGCACAGCAGAAAAACAACAAAAAAAACGAGGAGAATGTTTTCTAATCGAGGCTCCTCCAAGGATAAAGAAGAGAAAGGGTCAAAAAGTCAAGGAAAAGGAGAGTAATGGAGTGATGGCTCACACAAGAGCTCTTAAAGCCAGGCCTAGATGGGAGAGGGTGAAAATGAGCCAATAGTGAGGAGACAATTGAAATCAGAAGACGGAGAGATCTCACATCACATACGCTGAGAAAGCAGAAGCAGATGAGGCCTAGTGAGGCTCAAAGACAGTCGATCAGGAAGAGAATGAAGGAGAGAGACAGTCTGGCAGGGGCCTCTGGATGACTACGGCTCTTTAATGCACTCATAAATCCATTACTTAAGGCAATGCAGAGAGTAAGTGGATTTGTACTCTGGCCCTGTGATTACTCTGCCATCAATAAAGGATGGGCAGGGAATATAGACGAGATTCCACCTCCACCGCTCGGGCTCCCTAGCTGTTTAGCAATAAGTCTGGAGACGGGGATGACACGCGGCTAGAAATACGCCTGTGTAAATCACGCTTGTGTACATGACCGAGTGTGTGAGACGAACACTTGAAAGCGTGCACAGTGCCTGCAGTACATGTGCGGACAACAAAAGACCTGACAAGTGACGAGACAACAGTCGATGGAAGTGTGATTTTTCCATCACTACAGCACACGCACAGCTAAAACAGCAAATTTAATTAAAAAACAATAATAAGTGGTGTTTTTTTTGGAAAGTTTTAATGTATTTAGGACTGCAAAGTGTTTTTTTTTTTTCGATATTGATTAATCAGTCAGTTTTTTCCCCCCAAACTGTGAGAAAATTCCTCTTTCAGTCTTCAGTCTGTGCAGAAAGCTCTTCAGCAGCTTTACACCTAATGCTCTGAAATTCCCCTGCACCATTCTTCTTTGAAACTTTGTGTTATTTTGCACGGGGATTGTGAGCAAACAGCATTTTTCCAAGACCCTAGAAGATCTCGATAAATACTCAGCCACGACAGACACTGTTGACTTTGATATGAAAAGATACAATTCTAAAGACTTTTTTGAAAATCACACCTTTCTCTGCAACACCACCTCAAAGTATTTACATGCAGGATAATCTCTCGGTATAGTTGCATTCTTTTTCCTGTGATGGGTTCAGATTGCTTAATAATCCACAAAGGATTCAAAGAAAGACGTTTCACGCCTGTGACCCGGCGCTACCGCTTTTGATGTCGAATCCACCGTTTACAGTTCAGTCTCCTTCACCTCTATCAGAGCTGTTTTTAAGCTGCTCAAATGCAAACGCCACATCTCTTATCTCTGCAGCCTCACATTCAGCCATCAGACGAGAGGTGGGCGACTTCTCATCAAGAGCGCCCACAAAATAGGACTATAAGAATTAAAATAAAAACAAAAAGCACCAAGATTTGCAAGGATGTAACGGAGCAAAGAGCAGCTGCTGGAAGTTAACCAACCTAAATGATCCCCGCTGATCAGGGAAAAACTACTTGTTCTGTTCGAAGCATGAAATCAGATTGTGGTAGCAGTTATTATTGACTGACATATTTATTAGATCACTGACTGGGTTTGGTTGAAAAAGGAAGAAAAATTCCTGAAAGGATATTTTGTGTTCATACATTAAAAAAAAGACAAAGTAAGCCGACTGTGGTTCAGTATCATCACTAAACCTCATGTAGCTGATGTTAGCTGTTCTTCCTCTCCATCTACATACATTATTATTAAGTATTTACTTAAGTGAAACCATGGCTCTGTACTAATCTGAGACATGTCAACCATAATGCTTATCCTACAAGCAGTGTAGCTATTAGGGCTGCCACGATTTGTCGACTAGTCACGATTACGTCGACTATCAAATCGACGACTGACTTAATAGTCGACGCGTCGTTTGAAGCTTTGTAAGATCACAAAAGACGCAGGAATAAGTGGCAGGATTTAAGAGTGTAATAACAGACTGAAACAGAAGATGGCAGCATTGCATGTACAAGGATGTCAGCTACCGTTAAACCCCGAAGAAGAAGAAGAAGCAGCTGTGTCCCAGAATTCATAGCGCGGCCCAGCGCAGTTTCCAACAATGGCGGCAGCTGGTTAGTTTTAATATTACTCTTATTATTCTTTCTGGGTCACAAAATAAACCTTTAACATATTTTCAGGCGAGAATGTAGCTGTGTAAACCTCAAATATCTGCTCAGTTTATCAAGACATCACATATTTTCAAAAGCGCTCCGACGTTTTCGGAGACGTCTGTTACCCACTAGCTCGTTAGCGAGCCGGGGCTAGGCTCACTAGCGCCGTGAGAACACCGGACTCCCCGCAAATCGTTTTCAAACCCACCACCGTCTTTCGCTACTCAGGTTAAATATATATGAGTCACTTAGATAACTTAAAATGTTATTGTTTGGCTTTTTTTTTTAGTATTTTATTTGTTCCTGAGTAAATCAGTTTGTCTGAGATTAAAGTTATAGTTTTTACACAGCTGAATAAACGTCAAGCAGACAGCTGATTATCAGAAGTGTGAGATGCTGGAGAATATACTCCGGTGTCCTGTTATATTTTAGATAGCAAGGAGTTTATTAAACTTCACCGAAACAATCCGCAAATTTCATTAAAATTTAATAAACTATCATCTTGTCTTTATTTTTAGTTAGCACAGACCTTAATCAGAATCAGAATACTTTATTGATCCCTGGGGGAAATTATTTTTTGTTACAGTGCTCCATTTTAAACCAACATTAAGACAAGACAGACAATACGCTAACTAAGAATAAACACTTAAAGCTGTAAGCTAATGATAGTTATATAAGAGCAGATGCTGCTGGTGCAATAAGCTGTAGTTTTGCGTCCAGTGGATGATGATCTGATTAGTCGACTAATCGCAAAAATAATCGGTGACTAGTCGACTATCAAAATAATCGTTTGTGGCAGCCCTAGTAGCTATTAGCCATTTCTCATGAGTAACACCGTTTCTGTAGCAAAACTAGTAAGTGTATGTAGTTGCTGCTCTTTTGCCGAGGGACTAGGCTGCTCTTTAACCGGTCTCAACATGACAGTAATGATACAGTACAAGTCTGGAAACTCAGACACAGACACAGGCTAACTCGCTTTTCCTCGATTGAACGAGTGGTGAAGGGTGACTCGTTGTGGTCACAAAGGATGGCACTGTTCATGCCAAAGTTGCCGTGCAGATTGTACCACAGATACCCGCGCAGGGTCGTCTGCACACACCACAAAAGCTATTTTTCTTTGATAGCGTGATTCCACCTTATCAGGGGAACAAAGTGCATTTCTGAACTATCAACCAACCACAAGGGGATTGAGAAAATAAAGGTGCTCAGTGGCAGACAGCGTTTGGGCAGGAAAGTGCAGATGGTGGATGGTAGGTTATTATCAGGGGACTGACGATTGATCCAGTTGTCAGAGGCTTGGAGAGATTGCTCAACACTCGTGCCCTAGATACAGTAAGGAGGAAAGAAAAAAAAAAGAAGGACTGCAACAGGAAGAAGGGAGTAGGAGGAGGAAGTGTAGGGAGGCAGAGACAGAAAGGAAAACTGACAGCAGAGGAAGAAAATGAGGAAAGTTTGATGAGAGACAAGAATAAGGCATCAGAATGGATTGGGGAAATATGACTGCAATGTTTAGGAAGCACAGGAGTGCTGAGGGGCGATAAGTGGGTGGAAATAAGTCAACAGAGGTGGAAGACTGACAGAAATCTGGAGTAGACAGGGAAGATAAATTGAGAATGAAGGCTACTTAGTGAGAAATGATCATGATAACATGAAGTCAAGGTAGGAAAGAGCAATAATGGTGAGCTCAGCTTTAAAGCAAAGTGAGCAAGCAGCAGGGAGAAAAAAGTGGAGGGTGGTGGAAAAAAAGAAATTGGTGATGATGAGAGGTTGAAAGTGGAAGAAGGGGGGGGGGAGATTACTGTAGAGACAGGAGCTCGGCAGAGGACGGGACAGAGAGTGTGTCCTGGAAACATCAGCAGGAGATCAGAGGAGAATAAAGACAGCTCACAGTCAGCACCGGGTATAAGATGTTGACTTCTTCCGATCCCCAAAATAACTCTGCCAGCTATTTCCTGGCCTCGGTCACTTTAAAGCTCTAAAACTAGGCCAAGATCTCCAATCTTTACTGTAACAACCAATCTGATGAGTAGAGCTTTAATTTACCACTCGAAAGATGCACAGAGGTGCTGCATTTCCTGTTTCACAACATAATAACAGAAAACACTGCACACTGTCTAGAGTCTGATCATGTGTTAACAATAGAGCCTGACCAAGTTTTAAGACCATTACTGATATTAAAGTTTATCTTATCTTATATTTGGCGACTTAAAAATCTCCTATCAGCTGATGTTTTTTCACCGTTTTAGACACATGAAATGAAACATTTATCAAGCTGGTAAGAGTATTTATTTCAGCATCAGTGTGAATCCCAAAGCAAAAGAACACGTTTGGAGTCCCCAGCCTTAGCTGAGACCACCGTTTCATGCTCTGCTACCTTACAGTTAACCTAAATGAACATTAGCCCGTGCAAATCCTGCTTTTCCTGGGAATATTATTTGTGTCAGTGGTTGATGCTTTTATTATAGAGATACTCTGCAAATGTGACTTTTACAACAGCCAGTGCATAGCTGCCGTTTCACACTGTGTATTTTGTACTTGTTGTTAGATCATCGTTGGAATAAGGTATGCTACAGAGTGAACATCTCAGGTGCAGTGCTGTCTTCGATAGTAAAGTATAGTGTCGAGAAAGACGCCCATATTGCAGCATTCCCAAGGGATCCTCTATATTTATCATCCCCTAGGATTCTCAGACTATTCTCACACTTCCAATTTTAAACTATAAACTCTTGCAAAAAAAATAAAATAACAAACTGAAACAATTTGAAATAAATGTACTAACATATTTGTGACAAGTATTAAATCATAAGATTAATGGTTCTGTGGGAGCATTTACAGTGTTAAATCCAATAACTTTGTGCTACCTGCAAGCTTATCTGAAACAAACATAAGGTCGTTTGTTAATGTTTGTACTTCTACAAAGAATCTAAAACTGAGTGTAAAGCTACACAGAAGAGCACATTAATCAAACACCAGCCGAGTCTCCTTTTTTTTTTCTTAATTTGCCGACTCACAGGATTAACACGGACATGACAAGAGTTGAGTAAATATGTCACAGAGAGTTAATAAATCATAATACAAGCTACAGTCTAAGCACTCTTAGATCAACAATTTCAGTCTAAATATGCATATATGAAATTATTCAGGCATACTCTGAAGCAGATGTAACAGCAATTTATTTCTCCCTAAATGGCACCGCGTCTCCTCCAAGTCAACCACACGGTGAGAATAAGAGTCGCCTGCTCAAACTTGCAGTATCTTATCCATACCCACCACATGCTGCAGCCCTCAATACAACTCTGTTTGGAACAATGTAAAAACATGAAGTGGGAGACTTGTTCCTTTTTCTTTTTTACCCCTTTTTATAGATCAATTTTTAGATGCATAAGAGAGAAGGCCATATGAGTGAGTGAGCTGAATGAAATTAGATTCCTCATAGTTGAAACAGTGCGAAATGGCAGCAAGGACAGCCCCATTATTCAGTCTGTTTTATTACAAGTGATGAAATTCTCCATTTTCTGAAGCCCTATTAACTAAGCACTTATGGAGAAATAGGCAGTATATGTTAATATTCATCAGTCTCTGCTGCGGTTCTTACTGCAACATTCAAATCTCACTGAAACCTCGACAACAAACAAAGAAAACGTCTTCGGTAGCCTTCACTTATCACGAGCCTTCATAGATTATTAATAACACATTCTGTTATGATACTGCTAGTACTGTGTTACTAAAATACATTTTAATTAAGCGTTAAAAAACTAATTGTTGATGAATAAACTCTGGGCAACAGTGATAAAATCATTAATACATCACTTCTGACAGTGTGACAGTTATCTGATGACCACTCAGTGACACTAGCTTGCCACTGCAGCATAGTGAACTACCATTAGCTTCACAGCTATTAATGCTTGTACTAGTATACCGTAGTAGGCAAATCAGCATTAAAAACAATTTGCTTTAAAGGGTTAATCTATTCTACATATGTTTATTAACACATGCAATGGAAATACCCACATACAGTCTAGTAGAAATGTACTTTGAATCGGCTAAAACAGATACTTTTTATACTGACTGCTACAACAGGTCCTGGCAGGAAATAGCTCCTTTTTAAATGGTATAAGTACTCTTGTGTTAACAAAAAGTGACATAAAACAAGTCCTTACAAAGAACACAATAACCTATAATGGCTTTATTTTGCCTGCGACTAATAAAGATGGTGAAGTTCCATTTCAACACCTACATTTACATACTTATGTTTTACCAGAGAGGGAAAAAACTGAACTAATCTCATCAAAATGTTTTTGTCTCTAACACCAGCTGCAATTTCAGTGTCTGATTAATAGGACAAAACAGGATGAAATGTGTGCTTCTTTAACCATCACACTGTCTAAGAATATCATTATGCTGTGGGTCCACTGTCAGACCAGACAGCCTGTCAGCGTACTCTTCCTGTGGCGCTGACTCACTGCAGACTATCATCCTGTCCTCAGGGGATGCTTGCTACAGCCACAGTTAACACGAGATAAGCTTCTTGCCCAGAGGCCATCTGGGCTAATGGAAGGCTTAAATACCTGGAGCGCTGAACTGCCGCACGAAGGTAGCCCTGGTCTTGTCATAGACGCGGCTGAGCCCGCAACCTTTCGGTACACTCCAGGTCGCGGCGTTGGCTCGGCTGTCCCTCTCCTCGGCCGTGTCATAGACATCAACGTGGGGAGCGCGCTCGGTCAGGTTTTTGCTGTAATGGCTCAAACCGTACTGGGAAATCTGGATGGCGTAAAAGTAGCCCTGAGGGCCCCACTGAGTGGACAGAGGCACGCCTGGGTGGAAAGAAAGAAGGAAGAAAAGGAGGATATTAATGTTAAATAAATACTGGAAATAGCCTGATATGCAAGAAGTGCAGTCGCTTTAAAACTGGCTGGAACTTTTATGAAGCACAGCGATGGTTCTTAATCTTGGCTGACATGATAAGCTGGGTTTTCTTTTAAGCTCTTTGCAGTTTATTTCAAGCAGATGTTCTTTTTAAGATGACACTTGTCATAACATTGCCTTACTTTTTTTTTTTAAACTTTGTTGAAGATTGACTAAATCTGTTAAGTGCAGCATGACACCGAGTTCATAACCACAGTATAAAAAGAAACTGGTCCAAAATTAAATATTAATACAAACACTATAAATTTTAGAACTTCTCATCTCCTGGAGACTAGAGGCCGACTAGGGCAATAAAAAAAAAATACCTTTAGTAAAACAAAAACAAAACAAAAAAATTGTTTAAGAGAAGAAGAAAAAGGTTAGAAAATAAATGCCACCAGCTACAATAAATGATTAGACGGTGCGGTGAAATTCAACCTAATCTATTGCATTTCACTGGAGGCGAGCTTCCATGTTCATGCAGCCAAAAATAGCTCAGCCAGGAGAATCACTCTGATTAACAGATAGCTCATTTTAAGACCTTGTGACAGGGAATGCACACGTGCTACCCAAACCCCATCTTTCTAAGAAGAATGTAATAAACTCAGATTAGGGCTGACAATACGCCGCCTCCTTCTAAACTAATCACCACCGCATACATAGCAAGTCCATTTTAGTATCTCCTGTTGTACAGTGTAGAAGTCCAGCTGCCCGACACCAACTCAGGAAGGAAGCTCAATCTTTTTATGACTGAAATGACTTTTTAGGACCCTGTGCACATAAAACTCAGCTCACAAATAAGAAGGAAAAAAAAAAAGAGCAGGCAATTTCAACAGCAGTTAAAAAGACAATGGATGATTATTCACACACGTAGAAAGGAAAGAATCCATTTGCACACATACAGGCACACTCTGGTCAAAGTAGGATCATGCAGCAGTCTTTCAGTTCTTACCCCCATTAAATATACAAAGAAACTCTAATTATTCTCCTTTTATTCAACACACAATTCTTCCTTTTACTTGGCAGCAAGGAGATTTATCGAAACCTCTCCACCTCGATTGATCCTCCGCACGGGGCTCCCAAACACTGCACCAGGAGTTAATGCAGCAACAAGGACTTATTGATGTTCTATTCAAAAACACAGGTATTAGTAACCAATGGCTGCCCATCCATTACGAAGCACACTCGCAGGGGTCTGACCACATGTTCTGTTTACAGTCTACTTCTGCACGCAGAAAACTTGACACAAATAGCTCTTAAGAGATTAATAGCTTACATTTCATGGGCTGCATGTGCGTAAGTGTGAAGAATTATTTCAGAGAGAATTCTTCTTCTTAACTGCAGACTGGCAGTCACACTGACAGGCAGAAAATGTGGCACAATTTTCAGCTGCTCCCCGCAGTGTTTCCAGCGCAGCCTAGCTGCACACATTCACTCCGATCCACAGAGGATTTTCCACGTGCCTGCACTCATGGTTTCCCTTTCAAAAGTCAACGTGACATAGAAGTGGCCATCAATAAGTTGTGTGAGCAGTCCGTCCTTGCTGCAGCAGGTCAAGCAGAGCTAAAGCTCTTCCGCCAACACCCCCACCCATACCACTCAATTACGTGCTTTGAACCCTGTGAGGCACGCTTAAATTAACAGTTATGCTTTATAACAGCTTTATCACGATGCACTTCATTTTTCTTGTGTTAAAAAGTTCACGCATTAGTGGGTCGCAACATGCACGACTAAAATATTTTTAATAGCTAACATTAATCGGGGGCACATGGCTTCAATAAATACGTGCCATCCGACTGCTCCAATTATCCTCCTCCTCTTAATTTTGGATGGCAGTAAAACCAAGTTAGGAGGCACTGAACAAGTTCATGTGCTGTCTTTGACTCAACGATGTTCTGAACTCTGTTAATAACCTGTCAGGAACTTATTTTAGTGTTTAGATTTCAAGAGACAAGCACAAAGGATGCAGTGATGCCCCAAGAACTGATATTTCACTATACTGTCCATAAATAAGAGCCCAGAAAGACAGCTTGCACGCATTTATACATTCCCACACACACACTTCCATGCCTTAACTCCCTGCCTGGCTTGTTACCGGCATCTCCCTTGACAACTTAAGGAAAATGACTGTCAAAATCCTAACGCTGTGCTACCCACTGCATAACACCAAGTAATCCATATGGAAATGACTGTTAAGCCTCCATATATTTTGCTGACTCCAAAGAGCAGACTTTTCTAGAAAAAGATTGGTCTGTAAATTGCAGTAGGCTCTGAGGCTCGATGCCTACTGGAATTTACACGGAGAGGAAAACTGATACAAATTTTTTTTCTCTCATTTAAAAAAAACCAAACAAAAGCTTTGTTTTTGACCTCTACCAGGTCAGGAATATGTAAGCTCCACTGAGCATTTCTTTAATATTAAACAGTGAACCACCACCGGTAATTTGTAACTTGCTGTTGTGCTGAACTTAGAGGGATTTCAAGCACTTTTGCAGATTTTAGCTTTGTCTAAATGAAATATTTCTTTTCTAAAACACCTCAGAATAACTCACTGTCAAGACAGCCAAAGTACATTGATGGAGAACATTCAGCATGTAGGAGCTAAAGGTAAAGATGTTTTCCTCAGGAGTTGGTGGTTGCCTAAAGCGGAGCTAAAGAAAATAAATATATCTGAATATTCAAGTGCCTTCTTTCTCAGTTTGTCAAAAATATGATGTCAGTGGGATTTTCATGTTGCTCCTTTTCTGCTGGGAGCTTAAATAAAGTAGAAAACAGTTACTAACAACTTAATAAATGAATGATATATTAAGGTTGTGTTTCTGTGAGGTTTTGTTGCAATTCTACTGTATGATAACTAAAAAAAGACTTAATGCAGCTTTAACTTTTGCATCATGGCTGTGTATTTGAGCTGAATACATCAAGAAGCACTTAAGGGAAATGATTTTCTGTTTATTCACATGGACATTACAATTTCTGCAAGTGTGTATAAGAACCTGCTCTAAATGCAGCATATGCTGTAGGTGGAAGGCCGGTGGATAATTATACAGATCAAAAGAATGACTGTATTTTGATTTAATTTGTCAGGACACAGATCAACTTGTTCAGTCTACTTGACTGAATTATATTATGGCTTCTGTGGACTAACTGTCTGATACATCACACTGGTTTGCACCAATATCCTAGATTCTTTTCAGAGAAAATTCATCCAAGTAGTAGAAGTATCTATTAGTGAGTGTGCGCAGGTGCTAGGTAAAATATATCAAGCGTCACGTACGTATGGGCACAGTGTGCAAGTAATAAAATGGCTGTTTGAAAAGGTCATAAAACGTTTAGGAATATATATATATATTAGGGGTGCAACGATACACAAAATTCACGGTTCGGTTCGGTTCGATACTTTGGTGTCACGGTTCGATATTTTTTCGATACAAAAAAAAATGTTCATGCCTTTTTAATTTGTCATTTATTAAAATTATAAATATATATTTTAACTCAAAAGTACAGTTTTTAAATTTAACCCTAACCCTTGTGCGTGTTTTTTATTTTGACAGCGAATGCGCACCTGCGGACCACTTATGTGCAGCCCTGGTTATTTAGCTCATCATATTGCAGCCACAGAAATTCTTTTGTCCATGAAACCATAAAGCTGCACTTTCTTTTTGCCTTATAGTCTCATTTGTCATAACTTCTCCGTTTTGTGGTAAGCTTTTCTTTGGCTGTCACTTCTTCACCCTGACCTGTCTTATTTGGCTCAGCAGAACTGAAATGCTTTTACACACGCACTCACATAAGCTCAGCGATTCTCTGCGCGATCAACCTCTCACATGTGTAAGCTGCGGGAGATTTCACTTGTCATGTTTGCATAGTAAGCTAACGATTAATAAGACGATGTCAGAGGAATTGGTGCACAAATTATCATCACTCACAGATCAGTGCTGTCGCTCTCTATACGCAGTTCACGTGATTGCAAAGTGAAAGCAAAAAACAAGCGCAAATTCAAACGCGACTTCAATATGTCACATATTGACAGTGGCTCACCGATGCCAATGACATAATTACCCAGCTACATTTCTGAAAGAATGCAAAAGCATTGACATATATTTTTCCTACAATAGCCCGACGGGCAGGGAAGAGCTAGATTTTGGTAGCCCGACTGAAAAAAATCGCTAGCTCCAGGACGTCGGGCTAGCGATATTGCAAGCCCTGTATCTGATTGAGGAATCACTCATCTTTGGAAAAGAGAGTTTATTACAGAGAAATGGCTCTTTCCAAAATAAAAGCTATACTATCCGCTTCTTCTGGGCTATATTCTCAGCAGCATAAGGAGAATCATGTGCTAACAGCTGTCTAAATGACTCGGCTAAAGTTAGTAGCATGCTTGTTGTTTTTGTCTGCTTCCACTTGTCTTTGCACTAGGATGATGTCGGCGTAAATGTGCAGTCATATTCGTTGTGTTCCCACTAGTGCTTTCAGGTTAATCTCGTTGAAATGACCTTAACGCCACAACACGGCAAATCTCCGTTAACGAGCTACCGCCGATCGCTCCGTGCATGGGGCTAGACGGCCAACACGTTAACGAGCTAACTGTGCTAACACACTAGTTCACACCAATGTAATTGAGCATTGCATGGGACATCCAACATACTGTTTTACTTTAGTCCATGACTCGCTTACCTTCAGGGTCATACGTCACATGAAAACCAAAATAATTCCAAACGCCAGATCTGAATGAGGTTCAATTTGCCTGTTGCAAGTAGAGCTTAACTTCTGTCTCGCTAGCTTGCCCTGCGCTCTTCCTTCTGACTATTCTGTCTGTGTTGAGCGCTCAGTGGATCTGCACTCGACAGTGCAGCCTAGGCGGAGTAGTCGAACACAGATTCACTGAGCGCTCAACACAGACAGCATCGTC